GGGGGTAGGGTTGTATGTTTATGTTGGCTTTCATTAAATTTTGTTTACCTGCGATGTCAAGGCACCTTCTTGTTTGAACTTCTCTAACGGCTTACAAGGAAAATAAATCTGCATAAGAACTGGTGGCTTTACACACGCTCACACAAGAAGATTATTTCAATTTTATCGCTTCTTTTAAAATGGTCGTTAAATTTCTTACTTGCAAAATCACGAAAAACGATCAAAAAATATTTCTTGAAAAAAAAAAGACGGGATAATTACTTTTTATTGCTAAGGCGTAGAAAGTACACTCTCTGTATAATATAGAAGAAAGGGTGTTTTCTTTTTCATTTTCTTTCTGTTCTTTTTCAAATATTTTATTTCCAAATTGTTTATTTGCCAATATGAAACCTGAATTTCTTCTTTCTCGACCCGTCAGTATCGATACTGGCCTTGTGAGATATGTCTGGCCTAAGCTTAAGGACATGGCATCTTGAAATACGATTCCTTAATAAGAAAAATTCAAAGATTTTTGGCAAGACCACACGATAAACACAAGATATTGCTTATAAAAGATTACGTTAAGCTCTGCGTGACATTTTCTCTGCATTTATGAGCATTTCATTCCTGTTGAAATTCGGCGGGTGCTGTGTGTGTGTGTGTGTGTGTGGGGGGGGGGGGGGGGGGGGGGGGGGGGAGAGTGAGGGGGGGGGGGGGGGGGTATTGCGGGAGGTAAGATTTACTCTATGATATCAGAAAAAACTGGGTAGTTTTTAAGAATACATGTAGCGTGTTTAGTGTATGCTATGCAACAGATCGACGTTGCTACGACAACTCTGCAATAAAAACAAACAAACCCAAAATCAAATCAAATTAAATAAATAAAAAAGGTGGGAGTTAAATCTAACTTTAAAATATGTCTACTACTTATAGGAAGAAGATCGAGGTTACCGAGTTGTGAAAGTGTAAAGAGAGAGGTCGAGGAGAAGGTGGGTAAGACGGACTGAGGAAGAGGAGGATGAGGAGGAGGATGAGGAGGAGGACGAGGAGGAGGACGAGGAGGAGGAGGAAGACGTTGATGGTGATAAAAAAAACACAGGCATCCCCCCTTTATCCTTTTTGTCCGTGGCGTGAGGCTAATACCAGGGGCCCATTGTGGATGGGGTCGGGTCGGGATGATCTCCCAACTCGTCGCCTGAAAACAAAGCGTTTGTATTTTAGATGACGAGTCGAGTGCTATCGGCTTGTGCCACGACAGCCGCTTTGCGCGCTCAATCTGGCTAGCAAACCGACTCGACCCGACCAGACCCGAACTTCCAATAGGCACCCCGTGTAAGACAGTGCGGGTATATACCTGTGTCTTAAACCAAAACACGGGAACCGAAACACAAGATACCCAGACAATACACCATGGGACAGAAAAGGAAAATGAAACTTGAAAATGAAGTTGCAGGTGAAGAAAAAAATGTCGAAAAAAAATAATAACAGTAAAAAGATTAGTCTGATCATGTGGCACTAATGAAAAACAATCCTCCTGCCCCCCCTCCCCCCCCCCAATCTCCTAATCTTCTTTCAACCTCCGTTTCTTTTTGCCCTTAAAACCTTAAAAAAGGAAAACAATACCCCCCCCCCAAAAAAAAAAACAAAAAAAAAGACAACAGAAAGAACAATTGAAAACGCATATACACAGGGAAAGAACTTTTTATAGAAATGAGAAAAATTTATTGGCAAGCGATTTTATTGCTGCGTGTACTTGAAGCAGAAAGGGAACACTTTCTTTCAGAATTAGTTTTGAGAAATTGAACAATGTATATGTGCGCTAATTTATTGTAATAGAGTCTTCCTGAGAGGCAGGTTCCCCGCGGTGGGAACGAAGAGATGGAACGGAATGAGCTAGCAGCAGCATTCTCGGAGGCAAACATTTATTTCGTTGCCTTGAAGTGTAGTACACTACATTGTATTATATATATATATATACGTATATA